GTCGCCGCGATGACGGCCGTCGCCGCCGCCGTGAGGGCGGAAAAAGAAAAGAAAAGTCGAGGCGGCGGGCGATCCGCCTCGTCGATGGGAAGGCGGAGTGTGAGCCGCGACCCTTCCCGCCGTCGCCATCGCGACGGGGGGAGCGAACGCGAACGCAACGGGACGAGGGAAGAAGATCGCGAACGCAAAAGAGCAGAGAGGGATCGTGAACGCGAGCGAGAGGAAAAAGATCGTGAACGCGAGCGAGAGGAGAAAGATCGCAAACGAGAGGGGAGGGAGGGAAGAGCGCGGAGTGCGCGGCGAGAGGAAAGTCGATCAGGGAGCGTCCGTCGACGGGGAGGGGGGGAGCATCGCGTGGCTCCTCTCGTGGAGCCCTCCCTCGTTGAGGTGATCGCCGGGTTGCGGGCGGAGCTCACGGAGCAGCGCGAACGCCACAACGTGGCGATTCACGCCCTTGACGCCCGCATTACCGCGCTGGAGCGAGATCGAGGGCGACGGGAGGAGAACTCCTTTTATCACCCCCCTCCAGCGCGAAAAATCGAAAAGGACGATGTGGAGGAAAAGGGCGACGAAGGAGAACGGGAAGAAAGGGAGGGGAGCGCGATGCGAGCCGCTCCCAGCGTGTCGATCGATCGGTCGTATCGCCAAACCCCGCCTCAGCCGCACCGTTCGCAGGCGCTGAGTGAAACGATGGAGACGCCGCGGAGTACCGCGATGTTGATGCAAAGCACCACGAATAGCCTCATCCGGGGAATTCATTATCAGCCTCATAATGCGAGCCTCACCTCACACATGAGCGTGGGGGAGATGCGTGAGGTCTCGCCCGGGGAGACGTCGCTGCAGCGCTCCGTCAACGTGCAGAATTTCCCACCTCGGATCGAGCCGTCGCCCTCGCAGGATCCGAACCCTCCGCGGCGTAAATCGCTCATGCAAGCGATCACGAATTGATCGCGAACGATAAAGGGTTTGACTAACTAAATTAATAGAAAGAAAAGAGAGGAAGGAGGGAGAGGGAGAGAAGGCGTCATCTGGAGCATTTAGGGGTGTAACCTTTTGACTTCCCCTTGTTATTATTGCTCTTCAAGTGAATATGCCCTGTGAAGGCTTCATTGGCGTAATAGATTCGGGCTGTTTTTCAATCCTCTCTCCCTCGCTTTCTCTCCCTTATGATGTGATGAGAAGTAGAAAATTTATATCCTTTTGAGATTACATGATAGAGGTTGTTGTGGTTATTTTTGTCCACTTATCCCCTCCCTCCCCCTCCCCCTCCCCCTCCCCCTCCCCACTTCATCCCTTCCTCCGCATGCGAACGGTAGGATTGATCATACGTTTTATGTTGATTTTCGTCCCCGAGTTTGTTCAATTTGGCACGTTTGAATATTGTTTGATCGTTATTATGCACTTTTAAAAAGGTGACTTAGAAAAGGAAGGAACGGGGCTCTCCTGGATACTTCTGTAGAAGCTGTGAGGAGTGTATTTTTGTGCCTTTAGACTTGTTTCAAATCATAGAATTCTAATTGCCTGTTAAAATCACCAGACACATTCACTACGTGTGGCATGTGATTTAGATTTATGATTTTCCCATGTTGCTGATTTATCAGGAGGCAGCGATTTGTTTAAATATTATGATTTACCCCAATAGGATGATAAAATAAAAAATCGAACCAAAAACAATCGATCGTTACCGATGTAAGCAATGGATTGTGATAACTGAAGATATGTACAACAATCTATTCTGACGCCAATTTCTGAAGAACCTATCTCAAAAAAAAAAAGAAGGCAATTGTGCCGTCTTCCTCACTGTGATTCCTATGGTTCTATTTCGCTCTATCTTTCTGATGCGTGTTGGGCATCTGTTTATTTATTCACACATTTGTTCCCTCCCCCCATATCTGGGCAACAGTGAAAGGAAATAAGCTTTAGTGAAAGCACAAAACGTATGCTAGAAATTCTACCCCTCCCTTTGGATTTCTTAAGCTTTTTAAGTACTATTTCTTATTAGTGATAAAGGTGAGCTTAATAACGGTGGCCCGGTCATCTTTTGAGGACGATATCGTCACGTTTGATTGCTTGTGTTTTACTCCTTCTATTTCGCTTGCTTCTTCCACCTACGGTTTCCACCGCGTGGGAGATGGGGTTAGGGGAGAAGAGCACAGAACGGTCGTCCGAGTGGCGCCGACATACCCAGCGAGTCCTCGGCCGGGAGCCGATGTCGCTTCGAGCGGATCCGTTTCACCACGCCCTCCGCGTAGATCCCCACCCGGCCCTTCGCGAAACCGCCTTCACCCCCGTCCTCGGAGTCTTCCGCGAGACGGCGGGGCGGATTCGTCGGATCGCCGCCGCCTGGACGGATCAAAACTACACCGCGTTAAGAAAACTGATCGAGGATTGGGGGGAGCTCTTCGACCCCACGATGCCGCACGCGATGACGTACTTCGTCGGTTTAGGCGGCGTCGACGTCTTCGTGCGAATCCTCTGCGAGCCGCCACGGCTGTTTGAGCGGAATAGCCACTTCAACTACCCCCGTAGCGAGCTCGCGCACACCTTAATGATGGTGTTAAAAATCCTCACGGAGGTGTTGATTTGCCATAGCGAGCTCAGCTGGAACCTTTACGATCGCTACCCCGGTGTTTTTTTCCGTCTGTTGGAGCTGATTGCGGTTCCTTCGCTCCGGCAGGCGGCGACGCCGATGTTGGAGCATCTGATTTCGAATCTCGGGCCGATTTTTGAGATCGCGCGGACGCCGTTGATGATTCAGCTGCTGCGCTCGGAGGATGACGGCGTCGTGGCGAGTGTGTATCGCGTGATCGCGCTGCTGATCGTTCCGTTTATCGCGCTCAACCACACCTCCCTTCACTCCCGTCGACTTCCCCACCCGGAGTCGTTGCTGCCGTTAAAACGCTTGCAGCGGGTGATCGACAGCAACGTGCTTTGGCTGCTCGCGGAGCCGAATTTGATGGAGCGGTTGATCAGACTTTGCGAGGTCCGCGCGGGTGGGATTCGGCTGTTGGATGGGAATTACGTCACCTTGGTTACGCCGTATACCGCGGATATCATGAGCTACTACCTCTCCCAGACGAATCCCCTCCTGAACGCGGCCGAAAGCGTGCTGATCAGCAGCATCGAGGATGGCTACTTTGGCGAGGAGGAGCCGATGGAGGAGGGCGGGATCGCCTCCATCGAGAGCGTGCTGGGGGATTTGGCGGATCGCGATTTCATCCCCGCCGAGGGACGAGGGGGAGGAGGGGGCCTGAACGCGCCGCTGACGGCGGAAACCCTCCCCAGCGACGTCCTCGGTTTGCTTCAGCAATCCATGGAGGACGGGATCGAAACGCCGAATCCGATGCCGGAGGAGATCTTTCGGGTGGATTTTAGCTGGTTTTTAGGCGTCAGCGACGCCCGTCAGCGGTGGCGTCTGCAGGATCTCACGCTCACGATGGAGGAGGACGATACGCGGGCGCGGCTGTACTACGGCGCCGGCGATGCCGAAACGGTGCGTCGGTTTTACGCGGAAAACCAGTCGGTGATGGATTGGCTCGCCGCGAAACCCCCGCTCTCGCGCGAGGCGAATGAGTATTTAAAGATGATCACCTTACGCAGCGTGGTGGACTCGCAAAGTGAGATTCTCTTCGTGCTGAATGTGATGCTCTCGACTTTTTACTTTAGTGATGCGTGGACGAAGATGAAGGGCTGCCGGTGGATCCCGCGTGCGAATCTTATCTACAACGCCGTGTTTTTCCTCAATGAGGATTTACCCCCGCTGGTGGACGTCCCGCAGCGCGTGGAGCTCTCGGACGGATTGTTTCGATTACCCCGTTATCAAACCCCTCCGGTGCTCGAAACGAATCGGGATGGCAGCCAGGGGGATCGCGATTCCGTCATCGCGCCAAATCGCCCCCTTCCCGTTTCTTCCACGCGTTACCCCTCTCATTGGTGGGTTCGATCCTTTCACGAGCTCTTCGGCCCCGGGGGAAGTGCCTACAGGAAGGATTACAGCCTCACCCTGTCGGACGACCAGGATGACTTTCTCGAGGATAAACACCACCAGCACGGGCCGGAGACGATCCGAAAGTTGGAGCTCGTGCACTGCATTTATGAGTTTTGGAATACACAAGATCGGCACGAGTGTGGGCTGCTCCACAGCGAGGATCTCCCGCAACACGCGCGGTGGATCGCGGAGAAGATGGCGCGCACGTTAGCCTCGCACAAGGAGGAGGGCTGTGTGGAGTCGGCGCTCTCGCACGCGTTGGAGGGCTACCTGCGGTGCTTTTCGTTTCCCTTTGGGGTCCGGCGAAACGCGCCGGATGCGCCTCAGACGTTCCTCGGGAAGACCCTTCTGCGGTCAATTTTGGAGCACCGGGTGTACAACGCGACCCGCGTTCCCGGGTTGATCACCTCGCTGAAACCTCGGAAGCGGTTCGAGGCGCTGTTAACCCTCGCGTCGGAGCTTTTGCGCTATCATTACGACAACCTCCGTATTCTCGCGGCGTATGTGAGCGATGAGGTCTCCCTTCTTCACCTGAACGATCCGAAAATCACCTGCAAGTGCGCGCACACCGTGTTTCGCTCGCGCGACCCCCACCCCGACGCCGCGGGCGCCGTCGAGGCGATTCTCCAGCGCCCTCCGTTAGAGCGTGGGGAGTTCGAGCCCTTTGGGAGTGTGCTGCTCGCCCGCGTGATGCGTTATGGCTGTGAGTTTAATCTTTTCATTCGCGCGATCGCGCTTTCGGTGACGCCGGGGTTGCGATCCTCGCAGAATTACATCTCCCGGGGTTCCCCAATCACGGAAACGATCCCGGTGGCGGTCCCGATGAGCTCCTACAGCCACGTTGGGGATATTTTCACGGGGTATCCGGTGCGTTTGGCGTACATCCGGCGCGTTTCGCGGACGTTCGTGTTGCGAATCAACGAGGTGTTAGCCACGCCGGCGGCTTCTCGGCGGCGGACAGGGGAAACCGCCCTCGGCGGGGCGCGCGACTCGGGATCGATCGCGGATCTCCTGCTTGCCCTCCTCGCCGAGCTCGAAAACGCGCCGCATCGGCTGCCGTTGAGCGAACGACCGTTTCCGGATTTGTTCAGCGCGCGCGATCGCCGGCGGCTTCGCGTCTTGAGCGACGCGATCCTGCGGCGACGGCGCCGACGCGGCGCGGCGGACGCGGGCGCGG